ATCACACCCCAGGTATGCTGTTGAACCATTGGAACTCATTACATTGGTTGACACCAGGGCTCTCCAAGCAGCAAAAACTCTACATCATGTGGTAGTGGCTATGGTGTTCAGATCATTTCTTTAAACTATAGAATTAGTTAGAGAGCCATTATTATCTGTCACTGTCTTGTTTTTTCCATAAGCAGATCAGAAAGAATTAATTAATTTCATACTTCTACTTTAATTTTTTGCCAGGTCATTTCTGTATGAAGGTTGTCTATGGGATCCGAAACGTTTTCTGTAAAATTAAATTTGCCATTTTATTATTTTATATTACAGCCTATCTGTCCTGTCCCTCCAAAATATGAATTTTGTTGGTAGCTAGTGAAGTTTTTTTTTTAACTATACAGACTACAGTTTTCTGTTTCCCAGAGATGCTTACAGTCATAATGTTCTGGGTTGGCTGAAGTGAATAAGACTGGTTACCTGGCATGCTCTCTTCTAGGTGTAATTAAACCAGTGGTATGGCTTTTGTTCTTAATTCTTGGTTGGATAGAATAGCAATTCTTAATTGTTAATTGAACAAAACTGCACAGTACATTTTTTGTGCTGTATTAGATGCAAAAAAAACAGGGGGAGTCAAAGTTAGCATTGATGGTGTCAGAACTGTATATTCTCTATTCTGTTTTAGTGCAATTTTATTTTATATTTACTTTATATTTTTTGTTGCATATAAGGGTTAAGACCCGCTTCTGTCACTTACCTGGGTGCAGCGCCGATGTCCCTTGGCGCTGGTTTGGTCCGCCTCGGCTGACGTCAGCCGGCGGGGGAGACCTAAGGTGCACGCACAGCAAAGGCTGCACTTGCATTAGGATTTTCTCATAGGAAAGAATTATACAATTCTTTTCTATGGGGATTCTGATGATGTTGGATGTCCTCATGGAGTGTTATCCGAGCTGAACCTATGGTTAAGCCTCCACTGGCACAACCATTTAAATGTATGCTATGCTTCACTTCAGCTGACCTGAAAGATCAGATGGGCAATCAGATAGCAGCAATTACTGAATATCTCATGACGAGATTTTTATTTAGATTAGTAGGATTTTATCTTGGGATAATAAGGACATCAGAGGTTTCATTCTGACAAAATAAAGTTATCCTCCTTGTCTTATCTTGCCCTGATATAAAAGAGCATTTACTTAATCAATGCAAGATACACATCTTATCAAAAAATCTATACAACATTCTACTTCGGATCACTTATTACATGAGATAAGCTGCCTTTAGATGACTAAGATAGTAAGATGGTAATAGCTAACCTTGGCACTTCAGGTGGGGGATTTAACTCCATCAGTGGAAGAAACAAAATAATTACTATTACTATTAGTGCTCTTCTATTCTAATACATCCTGCTGAGAGGCGTAGCTAGAGCTTTTGCCACCCGGGGCTGCCCCTCAGTTTGCCTCCCCTCTCTCGACCCATGTCATGTCCGGTGCAGTCGCGGACATCCGTGACTGCACCAGACATACCTCTTTTAAGTACTCAACGCCTCTAGCCCAACACAGTTTACAACCTTTTCAAGCTTTTTTAAGATATGCACCCAATGAATACATGCATGAGAAATTCAGGCATGTAATTCACTGGGGGCATATCTACTAAACAGTGATTTTATGGGGGGTGGGTTTTGCCTATTTGGGCAGAGTGTTCCTTTAAATAATTTTTGTTACTGAAGTGCTTCAGCATATTTAACTTTTTATTGGTTTGAAAAGAAACACTTAGGAGTGAAATACAGCTTACTGAATTACATATTTTACACATTTTTAAAAAATATACTTTTATTTTTTGGGAGGGAGGGTGTGTGTGGAGGGTGCAGGGACGGATTGGGATCTGTGGAGGGAGGGGGACCGTGCAGGGGAGAAGGGATCTGTGCAGTGGAGGCAGGGGGACTTTCATGCCCCTTCTCGGTCTTTCCGCTCTGCAGCTGACCTTCTCCAGTCCACTGCTAATTCGTTCTTGCAAGACTTCTCTTGGTTGGCTCTTTTCCTTTGAACAACTAGCCGACCCTTTTAGCCACTTACCTTTATCCAGCGCCGGGCTCCCTCTGCGCTGATGACCTCTCCTCCCCCTACGACGTTGGCTCCCAAGTGGAGCTGAATGCGCAGCCAGAGCCACGTGCGCATTAAAAACGCCCATAGGAAAGCATTACTCAATGCTTTCCTATGGACGTCAGCGTCTTCTCACTGTGATTTTCACTGACACCCACTGCACTCCTCACACATACACACTGCACCAAACACACACACACAATACTTCCGAACATATTTATATTATATTATATATATATATATATATATATATATATACTACATCACCCTTCACACACATACTGTACTCCTAAACACATTACGTTCCAGACACACACTAGATCCCTTACCCAACTCTGGATCATATACACACACTAGATGCCTTTATACACTCTGAATCCTTATATATACACACACTCACTAGATCTCCTACACATTCTGGGTTCTTCAATCACACATTAGACTCCTGTATACACACACACTGCACCACCTACACACACACACTACATTCCTAAAATACACACTCTGGATCCCTTATAAACACACTAGATTCATTGTAAACATACACATACTACACCCCTAAACACACACTCTCTACAACCCCTACAAACACTATATCACCTATATACACACACTATAGCCTGTATGCACACACTTACTACATCCCCTATACACACATTCTCTACAGACCCTAGCCACATATGCATTACATTACATAAATAAAACCCAATATGACTAAAATCGACCTTATTACACAGTACCTCACCACAATCAGCTCACTCTACACACACGCAATCCCACAAGCAGGCTCCAAACACATGCACAATACTCTTTCCTGGCCCTTTTGTCTCCTGGTATCCATTTATAGAGACACCAGAGACAAGTTGCAAGGAAACACATCGCAAGCATGTTATTAAATTTGCTTGCACTGCACAGAACAAATACATGGCTTTTTTTCTCATGCTAGAGCTCTTTAGCAGAGTTCTGCGCATGGTCTGCCCTGGAAGAGCATTCAACCAACATGAGAGGGGGTGTGTTTGTCATTGGTGATGACGAAACACACCCTCTCTGCCCCGCCCCCTTCTTAGTGGGCCGCTGTGATAAAAAATGCCCAGGCCAAATTTTTCTCCCAGTCCGGCCCTGGCTGCAGTGTTAAAACTAGAGGGACCTGGCACCCAAACAACTTCATTGAGCTGAAGTGGTCTGGGTGCCTATAGTGGTCATTTAATCCTTTGTTTAGATTAGAAAAGTACATTAAAAAAGATACTATATGACCTCAATACAGGATGAATGACCTGCTAGATCAGTACAGATAACCTTCTAACTTCCAACTCTTATACACAGGATCCATTGTAGCAGCCAGACAGGGCTCTTGACATGCTGAAGTTGCATTCTAATATGTTTCACATAGTGCAGACGCCTAGTTGCAACACTGTGCTTACTGTATGTAGTTCTTATTTTTATATTCTAGTGACATTGATACGAATCTGTGCTCTCTGGACTGTCAGCTGCATGCTTATAATTGCCCATTAGTGAGTTATTTAACTCATTTTGTTTATATATTTGGTACATCGGTTGTATGTTACAATAATGATATTTGTTCACTATTTCAATATATATATCTTCTCTTGGTTACCACACAGTGTTATAATTTTTATCCATACACTCTCTCTATTAAAAAGATCAATTCTTAAATAAAAAAATTAAAAATTGTGTAAGTGCGCATGATATTATTTTAGCACTATCCTTAAACAAAGTGTAGGAACAAAATAACTATAACGTTTCAAAAAAATAATACATTCATTTTTTTAATTTTAACAAACACGCCTTCCGTGATACTTAACTAGCAAAAAGACCTGAAAATTCCAATCAAATATAGTAAATTACTATAGCCAAAATATATACATTTATATTAATATTATATGAATTTAAACAATTTTATATAACAAGTTGTATAGAGTAATATCTGCTGTAAGAGTTGCATAATAATTAGCTAATCTTGACATTCCATCTTTTTCCTAATCATAACATACTTGCATGAAATCCATATCTAACGTGACACTTCCGTTAGCAATTAATTTATTATTTATCATAAAGATAAATTATATATTTTATAGCTTTACTAGCACCCCAGTAATGTTGCAACTGGCACCATCCCTGGTATGTGTATACTACACTAGATAATTGTTACATTACAAAAGGGGTGTACAGCTCTCCCATCACAGAATAATACGATCTTCTTGCTGGAGGAACAGAGTATGAATGGAGTAGCATTTGTCATTCTATTCCTATATTCTACAAAGCACAAGACTTGCCAAATGAATAAATACAGCATCTGCTTCTAATCCTGTGAATCTGATAGCACAAAAGCCAACATTTTTGCACTCTGTCAGTAAGTGCTAGGCATCAGGGATGTATTTACCACAAGGCAAACAAGGCATTTGCCTAGGGCGGCACTTTCAGGGGGGGCGCCCAAAAAACACCACACCAAGCTCCCAGACAAATGCCTTGTTTGCCTCGTGTTCCAGGGCTGTCCACCTTACTGTGAGTGAGTGAGTGAGTGAGTGTAGCTGTCAGTGTGTGTCTGTGAGTGAGAATGGGTGTGCCTGTAAGTGTGTCAGTGTGTGTATGTCATTTTATGTGTATCTGAGAGTGTGTGCGTCAGTGAGTGGGTGTGTCAGTGTGTCTGTCAGTGAAAGTGTGTGTTGGTTAAACAGTGTGTGCCAATGACTGTATGTGTGTGCCAATGACTGTGTATCTGTCAGTGAGTGTATATCAGTGCAATGAGGGCATGTGTCTGTCAGTCAGAAAAGTGGCCTTGACACGAATTGGGGGGGCAAATTTAGAATTTGGGGGTGCTCGATTTTAGTTGTGCCTGGGGCAGCAGAAATCCAAAATACACCATTGCTTGGCATACATATTATGTATGTATTCATTATTCAAACACAAAAAAGTATAAGGTGGAGTATCTTACATACGCTTTTCAAATGTATGTAAGATACTCCACCTTATACTTTTTTGTGTTTGTATTACTTTGTGGGTGAAGGTTAAGGGGACCTCACCAGGGTGTTAGAGTTACTTACATACTTGCACATAGCTTGTATTGGGTCACTGTTATCTATTTTGTATTCATTATTCATCTGAATTTGGGACGATTGGATGATTTTCAAACCGCCATATAGACTAAATCACAAAACAAATTACATGAGCAGTGGGTGAACATGTTTGCTTGACTTGTAATTTGGAGTTCGGCCCGTGGCACAAAAATAAGAGATGATTGATTGGAAAAAAGGTGATTATAATATGTGGTGGTGGTCAGTGGCGTACACACGATCCATTGGGCCCCGGTGATCCGTAGGCCCCTCCTCCTGCGCTTACACTGAGCGGGCTGGGACGCAACACATGGCGGCGGGCACCTGGTCGCAGGGGTTGCAAGGGTTTCAGGGGTTGCAGGGCTGTGACCCCTGCGACCGCGTTATGTACGCCAGTACATGCAGATACACATACACTTAAAGGACCACTATAGGCACCCAGACCACTTCAGCTCAATGAAGAGGTCTGGGTGCAAGGTCCCTCTAGTTTTAACCTTGCAGCTGAAAATATAGCATACACATACACACTCACTAACAGACACACACACACTCCCACGAACAGACGCATACACACTAACTAACAGACACATATTTACTGACAGACACACACTCCGTAACAGACATACATACACACTCACTGACAGACAGACACACATACACACTCACTTACAAAACATACACTCTCACTGACAAACACACACTCACTAACAGACACCAAACAGACTCACTAACAGACACACGCTCAATAACAGACATACACTAACAGACAAACAAACACAAACTAACACACAACTAACATACTCAGTAACAGACACACACACAGTAACACACTTACTGACACACACACACACTCACTGACACACAAAAACGAACACACTCACTGACACTCACTAGCAGACACACACTCAATAACAGACACACACTAACATACACACACAAACTAACACACAACTAACACACTCAGTAACAGAAACACATACAGTAACACACTCACTGATACACACATACTAAAACTAACACACATACACACTCACATTTTTATTTTATTTATTTAATCCCCCAGCCTCCCTACCTTTGGGAGTGCTGAGGGGATTCCAGCTTTCCCTGGGGTCCAGTAGTGCTGCTGGGCGGCCGGTCACTGCAGGCGGCGAGGGAGCCCTGATCCTCCTGTTCAGCTCCCTCGCGGGCCGCTTACTGATGCCGGAGCCGGAGTGACGTCATATTCCGGCTCCGGCATCACTGCGGTGCGCGCGAGGGAGCTGGGCAGAGAGAGCTCAGGGGAGAATGCTCCCTCGCACGCAGCCCGCCTGCAAAGTGACGCCACTGCCAGCCTTGGGGGGCCCTTAGGTGGCCAGCTCCTGGGTCCCCAGGAGAAGAGGCTGTCAAAATGTGGCCGTGGCTGTACTGGCGTACATAGCCTGCGACCGCTGTATGTATGCCAAGATATACGTCCTAGTTTGCATCTGTGGGCTACTGTATGCGGGACAAACCTCCACGTCCCTCAAATTAAGATTTAGAGAGCACTGCTTAACAATTCTCAAGTAATCTGCAATAAAAACTCATATAAAAGTAACGCACAATAGCAATTCCAAAGACATTAGGGTGATAGGGATAAAGTGTGTTCAACCAGAGTGGCATGTTGTAAGAAGGAAGAAAAGGTTGTTTTCTGCAGAGACTAATTGGATTTTAAAGTTGAGTTCTTTGCAACCTGATGGTCTCAATGAAGATTTAGATTTTGTGTTTTATAAAAATATATACTTTTTTCCTCCCTATGCAGCAATCACATTATATATAATTGTCATTGTGACGAGAGCAATCTCGCCACATTGCATTGGAGAAGCCTGGTTGCCCGTCTGCTGCCTTTGGACTATGGCCCCGTGTTAAAAGACATCTTTTTTACCTGCAGAAAAGATTTTTTCGTTCTTTTCTGCCTGGTGTTCCGTAGATTCAATCTACCAAACAACCGCACGAATGACTGGACCACCTGGGAGCTGGAGTGTGCCGGCAATTAGCCTCCCTGAAGCTGCGGTTAACCACAGCTTAATTGACGAATGCTGGGTGGCCGCCATTCGTATCACGAACACGAGGTCGCGGCCATTTTAAACATGAGAACGCACAGCGGTGTTCGACGCTTAATTCATGGAACTGAAATCGGACACAGTTTTGCGCGAACACCGCTGAAGCCGCCGACCTCCCTTCTTGTTCGGTGAAAGTGCACGAACGGCCCGGTGTTCGGTAGTTTTGTTTGAATGTGTTATACCCCAGATAGGAATCCCATGGAGCCCATTCGCATGAAACTGACTGTGTAAAGACTTTAGCTCCATGGCGATTAAACTGTATTCGTGTGGTCTGAGTGCCATTCGCTTAATAATGTGCGCTCATACCTGAGCTATCTGGGGATATGTTAAATGTATGCTTTTAATGTTACATGTCTCACATAGTGTATTTTAATAGTAATTCGTGTGTTAGAATCCCCACGTGCATAATGGCGATTTGCCTTTGTCTTGGGAGATAATTGAATTACTTCTCAATTATCTCCAAGGCAGAGGGGAGGAAGCCAGGATGCATTGTGGGAATATAATGTGACTGTGTGTCCTATTTGTCTGCTTGTCTGTCCCTTGTCACAGTCTCCCATTTGGTCCCCTAGGGGAGTGTCCACCAGGTGGGAGACCTGCATAAATACTGGGCAGGTAGCCCTCATTAAACAGACCACTGCTTGACCCTCAACATGGAGCCTTGTCTCGTCTTTGGGGGGATTTACTGAACGCTGATAGAGACTGATTGCTACGAGTGTAAGCCGCTTGGATGCTTTTCCTATTCGTCTGATAGCAGCGATTCGTATGGTTCCAGTTCGTGTGTTTGGAGTGCTATATTGGATGCCGTTCGGGAGTTTGGAGCATTCCCTTATAGGCGGTTCGTGAGTTTGGTGTTCTACGGTAGCTATGCCTGCATCTCTGGAAAGGGGGACGATCGCCTAAACGGTTTTTACCCCTTGTGTGCAAAACGGTCCGTTACAGCTTCATAACACCACGACAATAAAATTAAATAAAAGTAAAGGGAGTGGGGGTGGGGTCCGTCCGCACCGTTCCTGCTTCAGTCCACTCTGACAGGATTAAACTTGTGCTGCTTCTTTTTATACTGTTCCAGTTTCCCGCTCTTTTTCTGCTTGCAACTTTCAACCAATCCCAGGCCAGCCCCCATAAACAGCTGTGTCATCAATTCTGCCCAGATACCTGTCTAACTGACCAGCTACCACAAGATGTCAAATTTCTCACATTCAAATCCTAGACAAAACAGATTAACTACTTCACCATACATATATGCCACAGTGCTTAGTGCCTGTGGCTTCTTCTTTTTCCACAAACACCACACAATTTTGGGCAACTCGGACATTTGGGTACTTCCGAATGTCCGAATAGATGAATTGCCGAATTGCCAAATTGTCGAAGTCCCAAAGTTCAGAAATTATAGAATTTTCGAAGTGTTGAAGTTCCGAAGTGCTTAAGTGCTGAAGTTCCGAAGTTGCCGAAGTTTCAAAGCGTCAAAGTGACGAAGTTCCGAAGCACAGTATTGCCTAAGAACTGATATACTTACCCAGTGGAAGAATGAAGAATGTTACACTGTATACAATTATAAATAAAAAGTATACAAACATAGCCAGGATTCACCTGTAAGCATTTGCAACACTTACAAGAATCAAGTAACATACATTCATATAAAATGTAAGTTACTTGGCCAGTCAATGTAATGACAGGAATGAATAAGTAGATAACGTCCTAATTCCCACGGTCTTAGGGAGCTATCTACTAAAAGGATGAAAGACCTAAATTGGTATTTCAGACAAATTTACTAATACTAAGTAAACATTACTTAGTATTAGTAAATTATGCCCCTACTCGCTATACCACGAGTAGGGACATGTCTATTAAACAGTGAGCAGCCTGTGGCTGCTCACTGTTAAAAAAAAAAAAAGGTCCCCCCTCCCGAGCCCCCACCCACGATGCACGAGTGGGGGCCTTTAAACTAAAGGGGGGCCCTATTGGTCCCCCCGGCCCTCACCACTGAGCGGCGGGTGGGGGCCCTAAGGTAAAATAATGGGGGGGGGGACCTATTGTCCTCCCCCTTTGCCCCCACCCCTGAGCGTTCCGAAGTGTCGGAGTGCCGAAGTGCTGAAGTTGCTGAAGTTCTGAAGTGTCGAAGTGCCGAAGTGCTGAAGTGCTGAAGTTGCCGAAGTTCCGAAGTGTTGAAGTCCCGAATTGTGGAAGTCCCGAATTGTGGAATGCCGAATCGAACCGAAAATTTTCCCCATGCACATGCCTACTCAATACTGTATTCCTGTATTTATACATAGACTACAATCAAATATATACCTGAATTCACACAGCATTTTTCCTCTGCACTTATACTCACTGACACCACACACAATTATACCTACAGTTGCAAGAAAAAGTATCTGAACCCTTTGGAATGATATGGATTTCTGCACGAATTGGTCATAAAATGTGATCTGATCATCATCTAAGTCACAACAATAGACAATCACAGTCTGCTTAAACTAATAACACACAAAGAATGAAATGTTGCCATGTTTTTATTGAACACACCATGTAAACATTCACAGTGCAGGTGGAAAAGTATGTGAACCCTTGGATTTAATAACTGGTTGAACCTCCTTTGGCAGCAATAACTTCAACCAAACGTTTCCTGTAGTTGCAGATCAGACGTGCACAACGGTCAGGAGTAATTCTTGACCATTCCTCTTTACAGAACTGTTTCAGTTCAGCAATATTCTTGGGATGTCTGGTGTGGATCGCTTTCTTGAGGTCCTGCCACAGCATCTCAATCGGGTTGAGGTCAGGACTCTGACTGGGCCAATTCAGAAGGCGTATTTTCTTCTGTTTAAGCCATTCTGTTGTTGATTTACTTCTATGCTTT